TATCGAAATTAAGCGTGATCATTATTTTTTATTAATGATCATGCTTCAGTTTTTTAAATTAAGGGAAAAAATTTTAAAGCTCTCAGATTTGTTATTGGGCCCAAAGGGGCTTTTTTTAACGTTTTAGGCGTTACCTTTATTTATTAAATAGCATGTTCTTCGAACTTAAACCATAAAATTCAATTCAACAGCAATATCACAAAATAATTTAGAAAGACCGTATCTTTATAACTTCCGATACACAGTCACGCGCGTGTTGGGGATTTTTTTTTTTTTTTTTTTTTTTTTTTTTTTTTTTTTTTTTTTTTTTTTTTTTTTTTTTTTTTTTGTACATTGTTGCCATTGCTCGTTTTAAAATCATTGAGTTTGTTAATCAAAAATTCGTTAAAGTTTTACTAAACATGAAATAGGTAATATAACAAATTCCAAATTTGAGCTTCCAGATGCCCATATTCGGGTGGAGGATGATTACGTTATTCAAAATTTTTATGGCTGTAGGTACAGTTGTTTTATTACAGTGCGAGAAACATACATATTGCTGCGTTTTTTTCCAATTCTTCTGACACCAGTTGTTGCGTTTTTCTCTTCCTTCACGTTCGTACGGGGTTCGTAGATTTGAAGTGAATAAAGACAACACTTGATGAAGTATCGAAACACACTTTATTTGCCAGTATTGTCAGGACAGCTCCAAAACACGTTTTACAGTCGTCGATGAACTACTATAAACACGCTGACACGATCAGCGACACAGCCTTCAGGTTATCAGACTATCACGGTGGAGACAGCTTCACTGCAAAGCACCAGAATACAGCTCCCGACTCTGCTCGGTCGTTCTCAGAACTCCACGTACTCTGGAGACTCTCCACGCTACAACTCGCGATGCACTCGACGACACACAGAGCACGGCTCCCGACTCTTCGGGTCAGTCGTTCCCGGAGCTTAACATGCTCTCTCGACGATGCACGAATCGCGATACACTAAGAGACTCCTTCGGTGACTCGACGACCCACTCGGCACTCGCTGCCCGCCTGTCAACTCGGATCGACTCCGTAGGGATTCACTCGCTAGACGAGACACCAACTCGATGCTGACTAGACGAGGCACACTCACTCGTCCTCTAGATGAAGCACACTCTGACTCGCCCTCTCGACGAGGCACACTCTATCAACTCGCTAGGCGAGGCACACACTAACTGACTGCGAACCAGCAGGGTTTATATAGCTTTTTGGCTGGTGTTCGAGAACATTCTGGAAGAATTCTGGTAAGAATTCGTTCCAGAAGGTTCTCCGTTCGTCCATGGCATATCGCCAATTTTGTCGCCAAACGGGCGGTTTCTCGCCAAATGTGGCATCTTTGCCATCCTTTGTCATTTTATGGCAACCCTAAAACTGCTTTGCGGGGAAGCGATCTCACCGCGCCTTGACATTTCGTAACATTATATTTATGTAGATTCTTCATTATTTAATTTCTTTAAATATAATACAGGGCTCTAATATTTGGTGGCAACAATCTGAAAAGTGAAACGCCGTTTATAGTGAAGCAACGCATAATGCCAAAACGAAATTAATAGCCCTTCTGAGCAAATTCCCCCTTTGAGCTAATAAATGTAAATGTTTGGGGAAATTTTTATACATTGTGCTTAGGAAATTCATATGCTTAAATCTTGGCATCAGTTTTTATGTTCAGGAAATTCAAATATATATGTAACATAAAAATGTTCCAGAAAATTTTCTTCCTTAATGCTAATTAATTGATTAGTTTTATGAGATTGTTTTTATTCTCGAGTTTGTTTTATAATTATGCTAAATATTAGATTATGTTTAATAATAATGCATCTTAGTTAGTTGCAGATCTGTTTTATTCTTAGGATATTTCAAAAGTGAACCTCGGGCAGAGATAAGGGCTTTGATTTATTCAATTCCTATTTGCTAATAGGCTCTTAATTTGTTTCATCGATGGTCTTTAGAAGTCCTTAATTTCCATCTGCAGAAATATGTATGAACCGTTGTTAATTAACCCCATTTCTTATATCAAGAGTATTCATTATGCGAAGCTGATACTGAATAAAGGGCAATTCCGAGACCCAAAATTTGCAGTTTACTAATTTTATTGCAAATAAACACATTTAAATCGATATTACTTAATAATATCTTCAGGTCAGTGTCCAGAGATTTTAATTTTTCTTTTTTTTTTTTTTTTTTTTTTATTATTATTTCTAATCTGAATTATTTCACGCTCAGCTTAGACATAATGGGAATTTTTTAAACAGCACAGTGGTAAAGAATTGTTTATTATTCACGATCCATTTTTCACTTGAAGTACTGACACAAAGCATCCCATCTATTTCATGTTTTACGTTTTTAGTACCGTGCCTTAAGTATATTTTTGCCTGAGCCTAAGTGATAAATGCCCGTCCTTATATGCACTCAAATTAACTGTATCTGTATACATTTATATTCAGCAAAAGTAGTTACACTAAATCATGCGAAACTTCTTATACCATTTTAATTATAGATTTATATTGTCAGAAAGTCAGTGCATGTAATAATTTATTATTTTTAAATGAAAACATCAAAAAGAACTTTTTTAATTGCTTTTTATTTGATAAAATAGTGATATTTAAAAGTTTCTTTTCAGGCATGGGAGCATTGTTTATAAAACTGCATGAACTAATTTTGGTACTTTGTTACAAACGTAATTGGGAAAAATCAGCTGTACCTACAACCATCCAGTTCTGAATAACGTAGCCTTCCACCCGAATATCCCCCGGGGGTCGACGTAGAGAACTCTGCGAAGCTACTGGCTAGGATGTGTACCTAGGCAGTCTCGGACACGGGGGTATAAAATTTTTGAACTTGGCGGTTCCCGATGGTCCATGGGGTAAGTTTATACTTGCTCTTCATGGGCCGGGAGGTGTAAGTCCTTTCCACCAGGGTATTGGTAGCCAAATAGCAAACTGGGCCATTGAGCGTCTGGTCACTGCTGTCCTTGGAATTCCATATAAAGCCTAAAGAAAGGGGCATCCCGTGTAGTGCTGGCAGGTAGCCCAAATTAACGGCCGGTCATCGACCCTAAGTTTCCATCGCCCATCCCACCGTGGTCTCGGTCCGGCCGGGACGGTGGTCTTGACCGGCCCGTGTTTAGCGGTGGGCTTTTTGATCGTTGAGCTATCAATAGAGGGTACCATAAATTTGTTGGTGTCTCGGGGGTGTGGGACCCTGGGCCCAGCAGGAGTGTTTCATGTCATCGGTGGGTGACGCTTACGGGATTTATCCCGTTCCCAGAATGTGATTGGGTTCACGAGCTGCGGTATAAATCTTAGTTAGTTAGTTCCACCCGAATATGGGTACCTGGAAGCCCGAATGTGGAATTTTTTTGTATTATCTTTTTCATATTCTGTAAAACTTTAACGAATTTTTTTATTAACAACGATTTGAAAGCGAGCAGTGTGCAAAGTTGTACGTAAAAAACACTTTTATCTCCAGCGCGTCAGAATGTCTATCGGGAATTTCAAAGATATGCTCTTTTTAAATAGTTTTAACCTAAATGCTCTCGAAATGTGTATATGTGTGTAAATGGGGGGAGGCCTATTTGGGCATAATATAAAACTTTGAAATGCCTTCGGATTTTTTTCATTTATTTATTTTTAAATTATTCAATTGGATTGCATAAAGTATTTAAAACAGTTGATTCTGCGAATAACAATATGCATTAAAAAAATTTCAATACTTTCTTCGAGAATTTTCTGCAGTTATATGATTCCTATTATAAAAACTTTCACGCTAATGTAAGCAGACGTACAATACACATGCGGATTTCTGATAATGTGCAATTAAAAATTCATTACTATAAACGTTTCTTTTTCGCCAACATTTCTCTCTAATTGCATTACATTTTAAGCCTTACAATTTAATAATGTATGTAATTAAAAATGTATTCATAATGGCTTTTTGAATATTTATGTTTGCAGTTTTACGTTTAATATCAATGCTATTCTCTCGGTACAGAGATATTTAGAATAAAAATAGTTTAAAATTGCAAAGATAAAATACAAAGTAACTTTGTAGAGTCATTAGGTTTTTTGGAAGCTAGAGAGATGAAAAATATGCAACCGCCTTCGCCGGGAATCGAATCACGGACCTCTGGATACCGGCCCAGCGTGCTCCCGTTACACCACGAAGGCACGCTAGGGAAGTGGGAGAAATACCTTATATACTCCCCTTTTTAAAGGGCGACTAGAGTTTTAGGGGACCTAGTCGCCAAATCCTGGGTGCGGAGAATCATCATCCACAACCCTTTTAGTTCGGGCGCCACTTGTAGAGTCATTAGGTTTTTTGGAAGCTAGAGAGAGGAAAAATATGCAACCGCCTTCGCCGGGAATCGAACCACGGACCTCTGGATACCGGCCCAGCGTGCTCCCGTTACACCACGAAGGCACGCTAGGGAAGTGGGAGAAATACCTTATATACTCCCCTTTTTAAAGGGCGACTAGAGTTTTAGGGGACCTAGTCGCCAAATCCTGGGTGCGGAGAATCATCATCCACAACCCTTTTAGTTCGGGCGCCACTTGTAGAGTCATTAGTTTTTTTTGGAAGCAAGAGAGATGAAAAATACGGAACCGCCTTCGCCGGGAATCGAATCACGGATCTCTGGATACCGGCCCAGCGTGCTACCGTTACACCATGAAGGCACGCTAGGGAAGTGGGAGTAATAAATTATAACTTAAAATTGCAAAGTTAAATTACAAATTTATTTTCAAAGGTAACTTAAAGTAAAAAAGAAGTACCGTGCAGCTTGTGATGTCTATACACATCTAAAACTGACCCTTGCATACAGAAAAGATGGCCGACACTGGATTATTTATTTATTATGTATTCAAGTTCCCCTTAAGGTAATAGAATTCAATACAAGAATGCTGCGAGTAGCTAAAAAAAGAAAAAATTGCTTTTAGCTTTGTACTCGCTAGTTATTTTATAGTTTCATTTTTTTTTCTCCTGCAGGTTGATGTCTGGGACGACCCACGAAGCCTGACCACTTTTCGAACATTTCATCAATCAAATGGCAACAACAATGGGACTTTCGCTGAAACGTCTTTTCACGCAAGATCAAGGTCGAAAGAAATAAACGATGGATCACAGAATAATGTAAATGGAGACGCCATCGGTCTCCAGACAAATGGAACAATTCAGCAGAATGGCAAAGCGCCCTTCAAGCTCGATGCCAGATTCCCCGACGGTTCTGCGCGAAACAACCTCGGAACTTCTTTTATGAAACTGAAGACGAGCCCTAAATTTGGCAAACTGGTCAATCCTACTGTTACACCCCCTCTGAGCTTCGAGCAAAAGATAAAAAATAATAAATCTGGAGGTGGTGATGAGGAAATCAAATCTTTGAGTGGTAGCACGCCGAGGAGCAAACAAGTTTTGACGTCTTTTGGAAGTGTTTTGAGCAACGGTGCTCTTCAAAATAGCGGAGAACGTTGTTTCGAGAAAAATCATTCTAACTCTGTCAGTGATGATGGATCACCATTAGGAAAGAATAAAAATAATTTGCCCACCGGAAAAGTAAGTTTGTAATATTTGCCAAATTTTAATTCTTTTAGTGCTATGATTACCCTCTACTGAAGTTCTGTTTTAGTGTTTCTTGTTCCTAATATCACAAGAAAGATATATATAACTTTCCTTATTGCATTTGTAAATTGCGGACTTCGATTGGAATTACAAGTTTTCAACATGTATACTTTGCACAAAAAAAAAAAAAAAACACAAGAAAACACAAAAAGAAAAAAAATAAATAAGTAAATAATATTGCTCTCTCTCTCTCTCTCTCTCTTTTTTTTTTTAAATGTATCGCGAAAAGTCATATTAGATTTGTCTATAGCATTGTTCTAACATATGTATGGCCCGAAAAAGAAGGGGTGGATTACACATTTCATACTTTGCGACGTATTTAAAAAGGAAGTACGTATATAATTTCTTATCTAATGCTATAGTTCTTTAAAAAAACAGATGATACAAAAGGAAATCGTAGTTATCCTAGCATTCACCTGGCATCTTTTTCTTAGATCTGGCTTGGGGATGCTTGGAAACATGCTATTCGCGCTAGCAACTTTTAGAATAGGGGCCTGGATGTCGCTGAGAACTTTTTTTCCTTTTCATTAGTGGAAAAAAAACTTCGCAGTGATAGGCACTACCGAACATGAGGATCATGTAAGATGCAGATTTTCAGTTTTCTAGGAACTGCATGGTCGCTAGCGTTTGTAAAAATTCGAAATACCCTCTTCACTGAATTTTTACTTTTAGAATTAAACGGCACTGAATTTCTGTTAATTGCAACCGCAAACGGGCTATCACATTCTCACCATCGGTTGGGAAAATAATTTTGTGAACAAACCGTCTAAAGAAACATTTTTGGCACCGACCATGTACATACGCCTCAGTATTGGGCGAAATTCCAATTTTATTAATCTAGTGTAATTATTATTTTCTCATGGTGAGCGGAAAGCAGCAGAAAAATGAGTCATGCGCGTTTGTCATAGTTTCATTGCTTTAGGCCTAAAGCAATGGAACCTTTTTGACACCATTAAAAGCTGAAGCGTTATCAATAGGGAAGCTCATTAATTTTCCTGTGGGTTTTCAGATATGTTAAACTTTTTGAGGTTAGCTTTTTGTTTTTAAATTTATTATGTGTTCCGGTGTTAGACAAAGGAAAAGATGTCCAGTGCAGGAATTTTTAAGGGAAGCTGGTTCGTACCGACTTAAAGTCCCAATCACATTATGTTTTGGCTACGCGGGACTTGACGTCGAAAGGGACAATTCTCAGAACCCGCACAATTCCAGGAAACCCACGTAGCTAGGTTACCATTTTCACTTAGGTCCCAATCACATAATATTTTGGCTACGCGGGATTTGATGTGGAAAGGGACAATTCTCAGAACCCGCTCAATTCCAAGACACCCATGTAACTAGGTTACCATTTTGGTTTAGGTCCCAATCACATTATGTTTCGGGTACGTGGGACTTGACGTCGAAAGGGACAATTCTCAGAACCCGCACAATTCCAAGAAACCCATGTAACTAGGTTACCATTTTCGTTTAGGTCCCAATCACATTATGTTTCGGCTACACGGGACTTGATGTCGAAAGGGACAATTCTCAGAACCCGCACAATTCCAGGAAACCTACGTAGGTAGGTTACCATTTTCACTTAGGTCCTAATCACATTATGTTTTGGATACGCGGGATTTGATGTCGAAAGGGGAAATTCTCAGAACCCGCACAATTCTATGAAACACACGTAGCTAGGTTACCATTCTCACTTACTACAAAAACTTGAACGGCAAACAGTAATCGATTATCGCTCAAATCGGGAGCACGTGATCATTCAGAAGCAGAACTTTCGTCTGATTGGTTGTCTCTACCCGGGACCCGAGACATTTTCGTTGAGGTTTGAAAAAATCTGCAACATTGATTCCGTAGCTACGCGGGATTTCGCTTCAGGCGAGGCTCTTTTTTTCTAGGAATCCTCCCGTTTAAACCAGTGCTACCAGAAATATCGTTTCTCATAAAAGTCCCGTCTACACAGTGACTGTAGTCATGTGTGATAACCTCTTTACACATAGGGAGAACCACGAAAACGCTCGTGCAGCCAGTTTGTCCGCCAGGACTACAACCTCGGACCGAACTACCATTGTTCAGGGGCTTCTCGGCCACTGGTGGGCCTTGTTGTCAGCGTTAGAAGGTATTTTCTCCCTCCTTACCTCGTGCTTTCGTGTGATCGGAAAGCACATCCGGCTATAGTCTGTTGCTTTTAAATAACTTTAAAGTTATAGTAACTCTTCCCTCATTCACGATCATAAGGAGTCATATGTCTTGGAAGGAACGAGGGGATGTTAGGAAATTGGAGGACCACGGACATTTTTTCTCAGCAGCCGTTGCTTAGAAACTCTAATTTCAATTCTAAAAATTGTTTTTTAACTGTATTGTGTTTTGGCGTTTTCTGTATATTGCAATTTTTAATGAAGATTGAGTTTTTATGTATTTTTTGCCTTGACACGGAATGAGAACTAAATTCATTGAATTAGAAATATATCTTCTAATGAAACTCGAGGAAATAAGTTTAATTAAATGAAGTGCAGCAAAAATGTGGATAATTTAATAGGCCGTATAAGGTAGTCATGTGATGTCCACATCAAATATTTTCTCAATATACACGTTGTTAACTAAATGTGCTGTAGGCTAAATGACCGTGTCTGCTAAGAGTCACGGATCTCTTTTTGACTTGCGTAAATCAGGATGTGTAACAAACACTACTAGTATTCTTCGAACATAAAGTTTTAAATATTACACTAGCATATGGTTATAGCAATGTTTAAACTGTAATAACTTTTTTTTAACCAGTTGCTGCATAAAACAACCTTTTCATCTTTTCGTCGGAGAAAGTTTTAGGTTAATATTATTGTTTTGCGTCTTCAACCGAGACCAAAGAAAAAAAAAAAAAATTTGTCTACGACTCGTGCCAACTCAAAACCCACAATTGCGACCAACGTAATTTTCTGGCCTCCCACAACATGCAAAAGGACCCGTCAGTCAACTCTTATTCTCGCATTCCAACCTGCTGACCTTTAACAGGTGCTTCCGCCCCCCTTCCCCCTGTCTGTTCTGCTTTCGGAATGTTTTTTCCCGGCATCTTTCACATTTTTAGTTTTTGTTGCTGATTCTCCGCTTGAATGAAAACGGATTGTGACAGGGATAAATAGAGTCCTCTTCTAAGTCTTGGGACTGTGATGGAGATTTTTTTTATCGTTGTTACTTTTTTTTTTTTTTTTTTTCTGGACGTTACGCACTTTTGTTTATGTTTCCGTTGTTAAAGTCTGATTAATCACGTTACTGTACGGGTATCGAATATCGTTTGTATTCGAGAATGAATTTTGTTCAATCAATTCCCGATTAGCCAGGCTTTGTCTAAAAGAAAAATTTCCCATCTTGCAGAATGATGAAAAAGTCGCTATCATAAACCATCAAAGTAAAGTAAAATTTCTATGGAAAATACGAAAAGATTTAGAAAACGCGATTAATCTTTGGATTATGGTAACTTGGCGATTTTTTGGCTAAAATTTGGCGACCAACCCTGCAACAGCAACCTACTAGTTTTGTTTTGGACGCCGCCATTTTGTTTTCACGAAGTAAAGCCTTTTTTTTTTTTTTTTTTTTTAACATTTTTTTCCAACAATCTGCTAGCCGGATACTTATGCTAGAATTTTTATGGAACAAAAATGCTTAATCATGACGAAGATTAGGTGCGAAATTGGGAGAAAATGCAGAATCGCCCACTGCTTGCCGCGTTTTTAAGATTTGCACATACACGGTATCCATGTACACGTCGACCTATTTTCACTTAAAAAAAAATCCCAGAATTGCACAAAAATGGCATTGCGCACACTCTTGACTTTATCCATGTACACTGCTAAAGTCCTAGCTAGTAGTCTTTATCGCCTTACCAAAATGTCGCCAAATTACCTGTTACCATATTCCAAAGATTAGCCGAAAACGCTCTAAATAAACACAGTAATAGCAGATAATATCACAAAATGTAAAAACGTTTTTTTTTCCAGAATAAATAGTAATTAAATAGTACATGATCTAAAATATATAAATGTTACTTAATCGGTACCTACATATTATCGCAACCACTTTAGTAAACTTGTCAAATTTTCAGAATGTGCCAAAATGTGGCAACCATACGAATAACCATTCTTCAGGCAACCATGCGCTAACAATTCTTCAGTCAAGCAACGTCGCCATTTTCAGATGCGTTCTTTTTGTCGTAGTCCAAGTTTCAACGGTTTTTACAGACAAATTGTTGTACTTTTAGTCATAAACTCAATTTTAAAATACATGTTTGTGGAATTTGCCAGCAAAGGAAAAAACTGCGGTTAAATGTCCGCAGGATTATCAGTGCTTTGTCGTAAAATGGCTAATGAGAACAATTATGAGATGCGTCAGCAGATATTCGTGCAATTCTTCGATAATTTTTATGTGAAAACAGATCACTGCGGCACATGGTAAGAAGAACAGCGCAAAAATATTACAGAAGATACCTCGAAAAAAAGCGTTTTGGTTAATCTTTGGATTATGGTAACTTGGCTATTTTTTGGCGAAAATTTGGCGACCAACCCTGCTACAGCAACCTACTAGTTTTTTGTTTGGACGCCATTTTGTTTTCACGAAGTAAAGGCATGTTTTTGTTTTTTACTCAACATTTTTTTCCAACAATCTGCTAGCCGAATTACGCTTATGCTAGTATGGAACAAAAGTGTTTAATCATGACGAAGATTAGGTGCGAAATTGGGACAAAATGCAGAATCGCCCACTGCTTGCCGCGTTTTTAAGAATTGCACATACACGGTATCATCCATATACACGTCGACCTAATTTCACTTAAAGAATCATCCCAGAATTGCACAAAAATGGCATTGCGCACACTCTTGACTATATCCATGTCCTAGCTAGTAATCTTTATCGCCCTTCCAAAATGTCGCCAAACTACCTGTTACCATATTCCA